GTGTGGAAAATCCATCTAATGTTATTTGGATTTCTGTAGCTTTCTCCAAATCAACCTTAAAAAAAACATGCTACAAAACCAATCAACACAAATATCAACATCCTGGTCATGTCCTTACTTCTATGAGTGGAGCTCTAGATTCAGAACGCACTCTTCCACTTTTGCTGCTTTGACCACTACTACTGCCACCTCCGGGTGTTACTAATCTATAAATGAGATCACAGGGCAACCGGTTGCAGAGCAGAGCAACTGGGGCAATACTTATTGTGTGTGCTGGTTGCACAATTGCAGTTGTCATATTATTTGCTGACGATGTCGTCATTGACGTTGTGTTGGGGTAGTTGTCACGTCTGATACAAGCAACTAACCTGTGGAGATAACAGACATATAATATGATGAACAAATTGATGTAAATTAAAATTCTGACCTATAAACTTTATCCTTGTCATAACAAGTTCTTAACTCCTGTGCAACTTCACCAGTTCTCTGTACACGCCACCACATCAAAGGTTGTTTACACAATTGGAAATCTGGAGGTTTGTGCCTGAAATTAGCAGGTCTTGGACCACGACTATATTTCTCAATTTCGACCTTTTCTTTTGTATTAGGATCTTGGACAAGAGGTCTTAATCTGATGTGGCTATGAGCATGAGTTAGAGGAACAGAATATACTGATCCAGGTTGGACAATCTCTTCTTTTGTTGGAGGCCAATTTAAAACTACAACAAACAAATTTATATTCCAGCTCAAAAAATATTATTCTCAGTTTTAGCACACTCACTTCCAAATTGTCCATTATAATATTCCATTCGTAACTGGATAGGACTATCAATATTATTGACAACACGTAAAGCTGATCTGACGGTCACCAATTTTTGTGCTGATCCTTCAAGAGTTACTGAGAACACTATTCGAGCTTTAGGCATCTCCAAATTCTATTTAAAATATAAATATCAGCTTCATAATAAAAGTAAATTATTAAAATTTTATACCATTGTTTCATATTCGGCATGAGCATGTCTAAAATAAACTCCGACTTTATCAACCGAGACAGGTCCAACAGGTGTCCATCCCTGGACTCTGGCAAATGTCTGATGCAAAGTCGGTTCTTTATGTCTAGTTCCACCTCTTTGTTTAGAAAATACACCTGGGTAAAAAACATAACATTGATGTAAATAATTACATAAAGATCACAAGTTATAACTTTCACAAATCTAGTATATTTTATCAATTTACCTGGTACAGTTGTCTGGATGAATGAAAGAGGCGCTGTGTCTCCTGGACGTACCAAACACCATCCTGGATCAGTTGGTGGAGGTGTTGCTTTTGTTAAGTGACTGAAAAGATTGTCAAAGTTTGTATAAAGATCCTTGTTTGAAGATTATTTTAAAATTCTCACCTATCAGGACTGGTTATCAAAGTATAGAACCATAAATTGTTGCCAGTTTCATTTTTTAAAGCAAATGGTACAAATGGATATCTTCGCTTAAAACCAGGAGGGTTGCTCAATTGTTGACCTGAAAAAAAAAATATATATAAATAAAAAATTTACTTATTTTTCAATCCAATAAGTTTTCTCTTTTATTGTTAATCAAGAACTGATAACTGTTTGATAATTTTCCATTAAATGAAAGAGAATTGTATTTGATTCTTGAATTTCACATTTTTGTTTCCATATAACTTTTTACCTGTATCGTTAGCTTCACCATGCATATCTTGAGTCCAGTTTTTATGAACCATATTATACAAATCCATAAGTGTGCTTGTAACATTTAAATTTAGCATCTCAGAGCTCAATATTTTGACAATGAGTTCATCGCTTGTTAATCCTGGTATTTTTAATGCTTCGTTCAATTGCATTCTGATATCAGACCTGAAGAAAAAAGTAATATTATAATAAATTGATTAATTATATACTTATTTAATTTATTATAAAATTTTAAAATATTTTAAAGTAATTATAGTCAACTGGACTCTAATTTTAGAGAATTTTAACTTTCTTATTTGTTTCTTAAACCAACTTACTTCCATGGTTCAATAAAAGGTTCCCAACCACTAAGAGCTCTGTTATAATAGTCGCCAGACAAAATAGCAGACAACTGGGTTCCAAACTGCTCATTGTTATCATCAAATCCACTCTTGTAAGCCACCAGAGCACCTAAAATAATAAAAACAAGAAAAAAGATCAAGAAAACGTAATATACAAGTGTAGGTAAACATAGTTTATATAAATTTAAATATTTATTTGTGTATTTTTACTACATGTTGTTATTTCCTTGAAGATAACATTGCAAGTGTCTATATTTGAAAAGTTGTCCTAGTTTTATACTCGGTCCTTGGCATGGACCTTTTTGATTGGTTATTATACCATTGATTGCCATTTCAGTGGTAATCAAATAAAGAATTGCTATACAAGTATTATTATCTACACTTACTGCTTGTAGCTTCAACTGGAGGTGGAAGAATAGGCTTAGGCAGCTCATCCACATCACCAGACTTCTCACCGTTCTTCAACTTGTGTCTGAAGAACAGCTCAGACAGCGAAAATTCTAACAAAGGCACATCAGAGTCCCTGCAGTCATCAATGATGCACAAGGAGACACAATCTGATTTAATCTAAACAGAGAACACATTCAATAAAAATATTATTCAACATGGTCAACTACAATAATTTACTTTTTTTTACCTCAAAGACTTTGACATCAAAATTGTTTTTATTTTCATCGTCTGCATCAATATTTTGATCACGATTGAAATTTCTGTCACTTGGGGCACGAGCTGTTAGTAAAAGAGCTGCATCGTCTAATAAATAATCGCATTGTTCTAAAGCTTTTGCACATTCTGTTTTGGAGAACCCCAGGGCTGTCAGTTTTGCTATTTTACCTAAGAGAGGGAAAGACATTGATAAAAATAAATAAATATAGTACATAGAGTCATTCCAAGTGGAAGAAACGTATAAATGAAATGAGAAATTTATTTTTAGTAAACTCATATTGTTTCTTTCACACAAAAATTATTTTATTATCATTCCTCACTAACCTCCCAATATTTTCGACCAGTTTCCTACATTATCAGAAAATTTACAACATTTTCATACTATATACAACATTTTCAGATGATTTAAAACATTTCAAGACAATTTGCTACATTTCCAGATAATCTACCAGTTTTTGAAACAGTCTACAATGCTTTCAAATAGTTCACAACATTCTCAAACAATTTACAACATCCTTAAATAATCTACAGCTATCTCGGTAAATTCACAACATTTTCAAATAAATGGCAATATTTTCAAACTTTCTACAACATTCTCAGATTATTTACAATATTTTGAGACAATTTACTACATTTTCAGATAACCTACAACATTTTAAACAATCTACAACACTCACAAATAGTTTGCAACATTCTGAGACAATCTACAACACCCTCGGACAATCTACAACCTCCTCAAACAATCTACAACATCCTCAGATAATCTACAGCATTCTCAGTCAATTTACAACATCCTCAGACAATCTACAGCATTATTAATATTTTAAAAAAATATACAACATTTTCAAATAAATGGCAATATTATCAGACTATTTACAACATTTTGAGGTGATTTTATACATTTCCAGATAATCTACAACATTGTGAGACATTCTACAATACTTTCAGATAGTTTACAACATTCTGAGACAATCTACAATATTCTCAGACAAACTACAACAACCTCAAACAATCTACAACATCCTCAGATAATCCAGAACATCCTCAGATAATCTACAGAATTCTAAGTAAATTTACAACATTTTCAAAAAACAAACAGCCATTTCAAATAAATGGGTAAAACATCCTCAGACAACTCTCAACATCTTCAAATAGTCTACAACATCCTTGGACAATCTACAACAATCTTAAACAATCTATAATATCCTCAAATAATCTACATCATTTTTAATCAATTTACAACATTTTCAAATAAATGGCAATATTTTCAGACTATCTACGACATTCTCAGATAATTCACAACATTCTGAGACAGTCTATTATACTTTCAGATAGTTTACTACATTCTAAGACAATGTACAACATTCTCAGATAATCTACACCATTCACAATAAATTTACAACATTTTGAGAAAATTTGATACATTTCCAAATAATGAATATTTTGAGATATTCTACAATACTTTACAACACTACAATAGTTTACAACATTCTAATACAATCTACAACATTCTCAAACAATCTACAATATCTTCAGACAATCTAGTCTACAATACTTTCAAATAGATTACAACATACTGATACAATCTACAACATCCTCGGATAATCTATAGCATTCTTAGTCAATTTACAACATTTTGAAATAATTTACAACCTTTTCAAATAAATTCGAATATTTTCAGACTATCTACAACATTCTCAGACAATTCACAACATTTTGAAACAACTTGATACATTTTCAGATAATCTACAATATATATTTAGACAATCTAAAATACGTTTGGGATAATTTACAGCAATCTCAAATAATCTACAACATTCTCTGCAAAATTTTTACAATATACTCATACAATTTACTGCATTTTCAGTTATTTTCTACTTACTTTTAGCATTAGCAGGAGGACTCTGTTTATTTTTAATAGAGTTGGACTCAGATTTAAATTGTTGAGGCAACGAACTGAATATCCGTTGGAACATTAATACATCATGGTATGACAGTCGAATGCATAAAGTATGTAATTGTGCCTGTGAAATAAAAAAAGTAAATTTAAAAAAAAAAGATTATATATTATAAAATGGCATTTCTTCTCAAGGCACGTTGTATGAAATTTGATAGTTAAATTAAGTAAAAAATAAGTTTATAATTTTACAATTAATTATCATAGCTACTAGAGATTTGTCAAAATCTTTTACCTCAAGCAACCCTTCTTGACTAAGGTCGATTTGAACAGTAACAGGATCTATTATAGACAAAGCAGATTCCTCTTCAGCTCCCAGAACACAAGAGAATAATTCCAATCGATTTAAATTCAAGGAAAGAGGCCTTTGTGATCCTGGCCTGTATGAAACCACACTTGTACTCTGAAAAAAATAATATATAGATCACTAACTGTCGACTATCTATCTTAACTATTGCTGTTCAGTAATTATTTCTGGCAAATTGAATATTAAGCGTGGTGTACCACAAGGTTAGGTTTTTGGTCCATAGTTCATTTTTGTAGTGCTAAATTATACAGAAATTTATTCTATAAAGTAAAAGAAAACTTATTTAACAAATTAAATTTAGTTATGACTTTGATCTCTATAAATAAAATAAAAAAATACCAACTCTACTAGCATGAATGGCGTTCCTATTGAATTTCAAGCTTTTCCTAAATTTTTAAGCATACTATCCCATGTGACATTCATATTTATTCCATACTATTAACTAAATCACCAAAAATAAATTTTATGTTTCTGAGAATCCTTAAATCCAAGGTCAGTTTAAATTGTTTCCTTTCAATAAGAAATACAATTCTGCAGTTTTTGGTTATCTTTAAAAAATATATTCACCACAAACTACAACAAAAGTAGAAAATATTTTTTTTCTTTAGTTTCTTTATCCACTTTTAGGATTTTTTTTGATACAAAAACACTATAATATTTCTCTGTATAAATTTGCTAATCAAAGTAATAATCCTAAACTTATCTTCAATGTAAATTTTTTATTAAGATAATTGTAAATTAATGATCAGTTTTAGCTTTATCTTAGTGTTAATAGAGAGTCATTTATCCCAGGATCAAGAACGCTACCCTGCGGCACCCCTTTGCATATAAATAAATTTATAATCATTACCTTTAAAATAACAGCATTGCTTTCCCACAACGAAGCATTCTCAACAACAACCAATTCAGAATCAGTGATGTTTAACTTCATTTCAAATACTGTATTTGGTTCTTCTTGAGGAGATTGTCTACAAATAATAAAAGTAACATAAAATAAAAATTTATCTCAATATTTATGAAATATTGCATTAAGTAAATAATAATGCATATTTATTATACCTCTTTATATGATGTTTCTGTTGTCTCTTTGCTTCACTGGATTTAAAACTGGTCTTCCTAAGCATGGGATCTCCACTTAAACTCTTCTTGGTCACACTTTTGCCTGTTGCATTGATTGAAGTCTTTTCGTCTCCATGACAGTGCCCCAGATAGTCCCGAGCTATTTCCAACCAGTCCCAAATTGCCATTAGACGCATGTTGTTTAATAGAATTGTAAACTTGGAGTTGTTTTTTCTTATTCTGAAGATAAAATAATATTTATTGATAACAGAAATATTTTACATGATGTAATTTATTATAATTATTTTACCGCGAGTGTAGTTCGAGTTGTACTTGGTTACTATCGTGTTGAAATCTTATCGGTTGCAGGATGTTGGAGAAAACATTTCTTCTCTTATTAACTGGTTCATCCTTGTATCTGGTGTCTGCTATTAAAATTTCCTAAAATGAAAATATTTTATGAACAAGAAGTAAATGACATTTTTTCTCAAGGTAAAGTTGCATGAACACCCTGATATGTATGAATAATAATATTATAGATTTTGGCTCACAAATAAACAAAAAAAAATAATTCAGCAAAGAATAGATAAAGTTGTTGATTCACTCTTGGCAGAATCCTTTTGAAAAAGAGAATCAACTATTGATGCAACCAACTTGGTTGTTAATACGTCCAAAGATGCAATTGCCGGGAACCAGATAGAATACTGATGATAGTGGCACAAAGAAGTATTGTCTGGTGACTATAAAAACACCAATAACGCTTTTATAATGAGAAGAAGATGCCAGGGTACCTATGAAATGTAGTGGCTAGCTACTTCATGAAAAAAAATTCTAAAGTACTACTGAAAGATTATGATATAACCATAGGTGTGCCACAAGGCTCAGTTCTTGGTCCAGTGCTGTGGAATATCATGTATGAAGCGGGCTATTGAGACAGAAAAAACCAAACACCTTGATGAGAGTCACAATCTATTTGACATTACTTTCAACAAATTGTTTGGTGGATAACAAAGCAAAGGAGTGAGGCTATATTTATTCCTGGCAGAAAAGTGATAAAGACCATCAAGGTGAAAGTTTGGATCTAGAAATCGCCTTAGAACCTTATATCCTTCATCTACAAGTGATGCTGAAGAAAGTGATCAATACTAGACTAGAGTCCTAAAAAACTCAGGATGGTAGAATGGTAGAATGACAGTACTACTCAGACAGATAAAAGCAATAGTGGAATGTCACAGTGAAGGATAAATGAACTTATTACCTTTTAACAATGAGGTATACACACAAAGAGGTTTATTTATTTCATTTATTACCTGTGACACTAAATCCACATCCTGTGTCTCATCCGAATAACTATCAACAGTCAGTCTTGACTTAATAAAATTAACTTTAGCCAATGGTTCATTCGGTTTCAAATTTAAATCAACTGTAACATCATGCAATAAAATCTTCAAACAGCTCACTGTTCTAATAGGTTGAGACTGACTTCCTTCTCTATCATGATCAGTTGATTCTTCTTCTTCCTAGGAAAACAAACCACATAATTAAGAATCATAAAAAAACATTGCATTTTATTAATATTTAATGGCGCGTACAATTATATTCAACCCTGGCAGCACAACATCATCTAAATTTTCTCCTAAATTGTATTTCAAAACACCACGAACCAAACTGTATTGATCTAGATCCAGACTAGCATCCAGTTTTGATAATGTGCACTGGATAGTCAAATCAGGCAACACTGAAAAAGTAATAACAATATTTGTTAATATGTTGCTCCTAATTTACAAAGTAATGTTGCAACATACCACTAAATCGTTGTATTCCTGTGTCCACCTTTCTTTCAACAGTGACATCAACTGTGCGTTTACCAGCCAACAATGAAGGTCTCTGCATTGAACATGATCCTATAATTTGGTTGTCGCGAGATCCCTCAAATAAATCAGCTTGTACAAGCTGAATTGATATTGAATCTACTAATTCTCCTTCATCTGAGAATAAGAAATACAAAATATAATTATATTTTAATGTATATTCATGTTATTTATAATATAATCTATATTTTTTCTTACCAGAAAGGATGTTGAGAGTTTTCACTTTACGATAACTAGTTGCTGCATCCATATAGACATAAGGTTTATCAATAATAAAAACAAATGTATTTCACAATTGAAAACTTGTTTTGATGTCAATGCAAAACCAATAATTATAATTATTATTTTAAGTAAATAAAAAATTGATAATATAAGAATTCTATAGTCTGGAGTGCAACTTTTACATGTGATTTATCATCTATTGTTACATAAAGTTCCAAAGTTTATCAATTAAAACCAGAAATTTGTTCTTATCAATTAAACAGGGATAATTTATCAACTTACCCAGAGTCTCAGCACTAGGAACAGCCATTTTAAACGTATTATGTATTGTCAGAGCCTCTGCATCCGCCACTACAAATCTTTTAGAAGAACCTCCTGCTGGAAGTACTATAACTGGTCTAGAAACCCTTACATCCAGGAGCAACCTGGATGCAGAATCATCTGGAAGGTCTTGGTCTTGGTGTAAAGACTTATTGTGCTAAAAAAATTTTAAAAAAATAAAAAATTAAGACTTTATTATAAAGTTATAAGTTCTTTAACCCTTACCTTATTCTTTGTCCTCTGTCTCACCTTCTCCATGACGTTCTGCAGCAATGACAAATGTCGGAAGAAGTTTTGCAATTCAGTAACAAAACGTTTTGTATGCACATACTTAACAGAAGCCATCTCCACCTTCAAATTAGCTTCACTTCCCTTAATCTTGTCTTTTCCCAAACTTGTCGACGTTTTCACATTGGTTAAATATGTAAAATTCATCGCTTCCTCACCACATGTTGCAAATTTTTCCCTATACATACTCCCTTGAGGTGTCAAATCCATCACTATCAAAGACCCTAAAGTTCCTGTGATGATTTTCACAGAACTGTCCTTCGTTATGGTGAAAGATACATGAGATATTGACACTTTGGCTAGATCTTCCTCTTTGCGGATCATGATCATGTTCAAAGAACGTACAAAGATCTCCACTTCGCTGTTAGTCAAAGGAGTCACTTTGGTTTCCTGTGTTGGTTCCTCGTGGTGCGGTTTGGAGTCTGACATACCAAAGAAATCCAAGACCACCAACCAACTTTGGACAGCAACTACTGTATCCAAACCGTTAAAATCAACAGATACACATTTGTGTAAAGATCTGTACTTGGTTGTGAACTCTGGACTGGCGTCATCGACTAGTAAAGCTGATACTTTCACAAGCATATCTGATTCTTTGTATTTCGGTGAAGACGGAGGCGTAATTGGACACACGTCCATTTGCAACGATGGATTTCGGCAAGTCCGTTTAGGTTCCAAATGATCCGGTAAGGACCCTCTTGGAATTTCGTCTAGTTGTCCTGTTGATATCGGTATAAAATTAGGACACGAACGAGATACGAACCAACTAGGTTGCCAAGTTTGTTTTGATGTACTGGATACCATCATGTATCGATATTTGCTATCAGGTTCCTTCAACAAATCTTCCATAACCAAAGTACGTAACGACACCAGAATATTCGTTTCGTAATCGTGGCATTTCTCGTAATTCAAGATGAAATCTCGCAAGGAGATTTCCACTAGACCTTGTTGACCTGTTCCACAATCTCCGCGTAGCTCCAAAGTCAAACAAGGCATCTCAAACTTAACTTTAGCATCCAACATATTCCTTCTTGGTTCGCCCGAAACTGTTTTGGAATCGACTTGATCTTGGGACCTGGTGCTTTGGAAATCTTTAGGACTGCTGGTCAAATTGTCTACAGTGTCCAACAATTGTTCATACTGCTCTCGTGATAAAGACACTCGTAAAGGCGTCACCACACATCCGTTGACATGGACACAGTCTCTAGAAAACTTTTCGTCTAAGAGTTCCATCGAATTGTACAAATCAGGAAGCTCTCGCGCTATTTCCAACTTAATAGTGGTGTCGTGCAGAATTGGTAAACCACCTTTGGAGCAATACAACTCCTCTGCTTTTAATATTGTACCATGATCCATCACATTACGCCTATCGCTTGTATCTAGAGAATATAAGTTCATATCACGGACTTCTATCACATAGGTATCAAAAGTTGCATTATAAATTTTTCTTGGAACCGTTTCGTTGGTATAATTTGGTGTGTTGGATAAAGAAATTCTTCCTAAATGTGCCACAAAGACATGGGGACTTGTTGGTGCCCTTGGCAAAACTAAAACCGGAGTCTCTAAAACAATATCCAAATTTATCAAAACGTTGCATTCTGTGCATTGAGGCGAAGTCTTCTGTCCCATGCTCAAATAAGTTTCGTGCGTTATCGAATCCATTCGGGCCTGCACCAAATTTATCGCCATATCCGTAGCTCTAGCCTTGATGCTATGTGCCAACGCTGATAAATAAGTCTGGAACTCAGTAGCACACATCTTAATCTCCATCAACAAATGCGGAGAATACGTGTACCAAACACTACCCATTCTCAATTTAATGTGCAAATCTGTAACCTGGTTGTTGTCAATTTTATTCTGCTCAATACGAAAGGACAAAGCCTCCTTACAACCTGTCTCTGAAGACTGCTGATGCGTATTATAAATTTCAGTGGTCAACATTTGTAGCAAATCAACATGTGGTAAAACTTCAGGATCTGTTAAAGGATCCTTACCAACGCTCAAGACGCGCTGATGAGTTATGCCAGTAGGAGTCAGGTCCAAAACTTGCAAGCCTCCCAGAGATCCTTCAATAGTCACTCCTGTGCCAATAGTTGCATGTATTCTGGCTTCAGACATTGTTGCTGTTGCAACTTTTCTCCCAATGTAACAACCGTCTCTCAATAAAGCTCTTAAGACTAACACATTCAGTCTGTGGAAATCAAATGTGATCTCAGCTCTCGTGTTGTTGACTAGATTATCTTTGGTTTCTGCTGTAAAGCTTTTCATAGCACCTCCTGATTGGAACTTTGGCAACACCCTATTGGCAAAGCCTATCAACTCAACTATAGTTTCCTGATTGGCTATGATGTCTAAATTATTAAATTGTATACTAGCTATTTGTATAGCCTCTTCGGTTTCAGTAGCATTCACATACAACACTTCAATCACAATCAGCGCTTCAGTGTCTGATTTATTTAATATTGTCTCCATAACTGGTGAGATATGTCCTTGTCTCAAGCTACTCAATGCTTGCGACAACTGATGAGGACTGGTGGCTCTTCGCGCTACGTTCATGGGATCAGGACTGGCAGGAGAAGTTGGTGAACATGGATCACTATCTCGTAAACTGCCAGACACAGAATCCATGCCCACATGTTTATGTGAAGCCACCAATAGCTCAAAATCTGGTCCAAAAGTTTGCAAGGCATCAACAAGCAACAATCCATGCACTAATAAAGTAGCACTGGTTTCGGTGGAGCACTTGGTGAAACCTAATCTGACTCCTGTTACTTGCAACTCTGCTACACTTTTACCACGAGATTGGACTTCTATTGCAAGTTGTTCAACTGAAAATTGCAGTGTTATAATTTTTGATGCTGATTCCTTGGCATGATCAAGATGTGGTAATGTATCTTGCATCAATATATCATCTGTTATTGTTGGGCTTTTAAATGGTGAATCTGCCTTTTCGCTTTCTAAAATATCCAGCAGTTTTTTCAAAGAGAATATTTTTTGTTCAGCTACATGCATAACCAATCTTGGCAGAGTACCGCTCACTATTAGACTTGGATATTGTGGATCTACTGTGTGGACTAACCTACGTTCAATTTGGAATGATATATTGAATCGGTCTAAAACGTGCAATGGTGAAGTTCCTTTGGTATGAGCAAAACTCCAATTGTCTGTAGCTCGACCAACCAATACTTGCAGATCTAAAAATTCCACATTGTACTTATCATAAATCCTATTGTGTAATGTATTCTGGTTCAACATCATCAGATTCTCAGGTGACAATTTTAAAGAATCTTCATTTGAACATAACGTTGGACTATCAGATCCACTGGCTTCACTACCTGGAGGCGTTGAACACGGTGTCATAAACATCTCTTCATCCTCACTATCGCGATTGTAATAAGGATCATCTTGATTTTTATCAAGTTCTTCATTTTGCTTATTGGACAAGACCAAGCGTCCAAAATCCAATACAACGACGCACGTATCACAGTCCAGAAAGCTCTCAACAAAAATAATTTGAGGAGCTGATATGTCTAATTCTAATAACCAGTCTTTACGTTCAGAAAGATCACCTTCCAACAACTGCTCCCAGTTTTTCATCAACTCCTGCTTGGTTCTCAATTTCATATCGTTGATTCTCCGTCTCGTTGCCGCCATTTGGTGAGGTTTACAAATGAAGTCGACTAACCACTGAACAGCACTTTTGTTGTAGACAATATCCAAGGCTTGAGATTTTATTTTCAGGCTGTAATCTGTGTTTTGACCAAGAGGTTTACGCTCAAAACACAAGGAAAACAAAGGCTCATTGGTTTTCTCCAAATTGACATAAGGCTGTTGCGTTACCGAGATGCGATGGGTTCTTTGAGACATCTGACGCATCCTAGGCAATGGAGCATTGTCTTTACCCTGGGGGAAGGGACAAATAAATGCCACATATGATAATATCATTACTTGGTATCAATTATTTTTACCTGAGGGCATACAAGCACTGGAAAAATAGTATTCTTGGTAATTTTGTCCAAAATGGAAACACTGCCCAGTGCCAATTTTGCCTGATACGAACCATACCTAGATCTGGTCTCAACAGATACTTTTACAGTCTCAAAATGTAACTCAAGCATTGGAACACTGAAAGAACAAAGTAATTAGGTAAACAATTGATTCAATGATACTATAAATCCCAACTAGATTACTTGTTTGAGCATTATCACCTTTTGCTATAAGATTCTCCCATGCAAATACTAAAAGTTCCTTCTTCAAGAGTAAATTCAAACTGGGCAACAACATGACAATTTTGTCTTTCATCTCGTACATTTGCCAAGGCTTTCAGCAACTCTGCATCCAAAGTGTTATCAGATGTAGTAGATGGGACTAAAGCCTCATTTTCAGCTAAAAAATTAATAGAAAGGTAATAGATCTAATCTAATCTAATCATTTAATCCAAATTACAATTTATGTTTATTATTACCTGATGGTGTTTTAGAAGAAGAATTACTGCCATACCATCCCCAGTACTGTGGAAACCATTGAAACAACACACCGTAACCACTTCCACTGTTTGTATTCCTGGACTCATCTGTTTTTTCTGGTATTCGACTCATGGCCACCTGCAGAAACAGAAAAATGTTACATTTAATAAAAAATTTCTTACAGTCAATAATAAACATATAAATATCTTATCCAATTGACCTCTCTTAAAGCTTTCAATTTATCCAAAGTGAGCACTGTCTCCATTCGATCTTTCAGTTGCTTCTGTTCCAAAGGCAATGTGCAGGATGGTGCTAATAACAATTTTGTGTATAAATCTACATAGTTGATATTGTCTCTTGCCAACGATAGGCATTCTTCCCATGTTGGACGATAGAAGTCATGACCTAAAGAAAAGAACTTTAAAATTCAACATGTGGAGTACCACAAGGCTCGGTGCAAGGACCTAGGTTATATTTAGTAAATACAAACAATCTAAAAAAAAAATCAATTTTAATACAATCTTACCATTGCATTTAAGAGCGTACAGCCACCATGCTTTAGGACTATCTTTCACCAGCACTCCAGGTCTGTTCAGACGGTTCTTACGTATCTTGGCCACATTTTCCAAACCGTGTGCGCACTTTATCAACTGCTCATACTGCCACTATAATATAAAAAATACAAAAACTGTAATATCTGGTAAATAGTACCTAATACAATCTATTCCTGATACAATCTATTATCTTACATCAACAAGAACCAATGGAACTTTATGCAACTGCAAATCACAAACAAGTCTTGGTCTACTCGATGGTCTATCACCACCTGCTTGGAACTCCCCTAGATTTGGAGTCTCTCTACCCAATTGTGCTCTGCCTCGCACAGGTTTGAGGACATACTGATGGGACTTTATGGAATCTAAAGCAACCTAAAAAAATAATTGAGGGGAATGAGTTATAAAGAATTATATTGCTGTTGCTTTCTTATTTGTTAAATTTTATTTTACTGCTAATTCTCCCAAAGTCCTATTCCCGAGCATATCAGTCTCCTCAATCGCGTCCCAATAGATGGCCAAAGCCTGTAGTTCCATAGTTTTAGCACCATTTGCACCACCTGCAGCTCCTGGTGAGGTTGCTGTACCAGAGTTGGCATTGTAGTTGATGTTTATGGAAGCTGATGAGAAGTCACTTACTAAAGAATGGTAAAACCAGATTAATATCATGATGATGAAATATTTTTGTATGTATTAATTTACCTGCTCCATTTGTGTTCAAGGATCCCAATGTTATCCCGCAAGCAAATATTTGTCCAGGGATTGATATGGAGTCTTCGTATCTTATATGGATGTCACGGATTTTAAACTAAAAATGATAAAAAAAAACTAAATTTGGGACATTGATTAATAAATTTGTAGTTCTAGGAGTCAAGTTCCTCAGAATTCTGAAATATTTCTTGGTAGAAAAAACAGTGGAAAAAACCTCATGAAGTTTAATGCGTGGAGTACCACAAAGCTGGGTCCTAGGACCACAGTTATATCTAGTATATAGTATTCAAACTTTGTCGCACACATATTATGTCCAATTTCGGTGTCAAACAATTGATAATGACTTTAAATTTAAAATAGGACAAATGGAGTTTCTGGCATTAAATTCTCTTTAGAAAGTTGAAAACAAAATTTATCAATTATAGTAGGTAAGTGCTAATTACCAAAAAAACTATCTATTACTCACTTGTAAATTATCCACAATCCCGGAAACAAAACTGGCCCCATAACTCAACCAGGACGAGTAACTCGAGGCATAGTATCCAGTTGATCCAGAAGCTCCTTGTCTTCCTGCAGAGGAATTTGCATCTCGGACAGCTCTCCATCGGGACTCATGAGCATCCAATTTATTGAGCTTACGTTCCAAGGAAGCATTTCTCTCAAACTCATCATCCCACTAAAATAAATGGATAGAAAATATAATTGATAGAATAAAAACTCCTGGTAAAAGAATTAAATTGAGGAAAAAAGTAGAAAATGCTCATTTGATAAATGATGTATGGATAATTAAATATGAATCCTTTATTAAGTAATTTTGATTTCAGTTGACTCTCCATTTATTTCTATTTCTATTTTACCTCGTCCAAGTTAATCGGTCCAGCAACAACATTCAATTGTTCGATTAGTATCACCCATGGGGCTGATCTGAATTGTCTGACTGGAATTTGGAGTCTCACACGACCTATATAACCAGCTCTGACTTGTAAAGGTAACCCGAGGAGTCTTAGGGCATCTTTTCTTATCGGGAGGTTCTCTAATTCGACCTCACCTGGAAATAGATATATAAACAAATAAATAGATAACCTCGTTTTTTCAATAATGTTTTTATTTATAATTATTTCTATGATTGGAGAATTGAGGATTTTTCAATTCCTGAAGAAAGGAACAGAAGATATTTTTTTTTTTTGAAAAAGGGGCTTTTATAGTTCAGAAAAATAAAATTATACAAAATATATACACCTATTTATATTTTTGATTCTTGACTATTATTAACTTCCCAAAAAAGAAGTTTATGTTTACGCCAAAAAAGCAGATTGCCTAATTTTAAGTTATTTAAAAATTTCAAGTCATTCTGAATCGTTTAACACCGAAATTGGAAAAAGTATGTGCACTTTTTTGTATTTTTGGTTTTTGACAATTATTAACTTCCCAAAAAAGAAGTTTATACTCAAGAAAAGCTTATTTGCTAATTTGATGTTATTTCGATATTTCAAGTCATTCTGAATCGTTTGACACCAAAAATGGAAAAAGTATGTGCACCAAAAAAGAAGTTTATACTTCAAAAAAGCAGATTCGCTAACTGTATGTTATTTCCAAATTTCGAGGCATTCTGAATCGTTTGACTCCAAATTTAGAAAAATTTATTTATTTAGTATGTGTGTATGTGTGGGATGCACAAATTACAATTTTTATCCTAAATGCCATTTATGGTAAGCGTTTAATTAATTTTATAAAATTCCAATTACATTAGTTTTTCTTACAAGTCGAATCGATGCATGAAATTATTGTTATTATTTACATACCACTCCCAAAGAAATATTTTATGACGTAATTATACAACTATTTAATTTAACAACATATAAATAAATAATATTTATGCAATAACAATAATTAATCATGTACAAACAAATATTTTAATACTAAATCCAACTATACTAATTACGTAATGTATATTTCATATTTTTTACATTAATCTTACGTAAAAATGACGTAAATATGTAACTTATTTTACGTAAATATTACGGATTATGGTTTAGTGGGATCACATTTACGGATTTTGGCTTAGTGGGTCACATTTTGGTTAAAAATACAGATTTCACAATTAAGAACACAATTCTTAATTTATGCCTATATCCAAATTTATTTAATTTTTTTAATTCTTCATTCAGTCAATACAAGTGAAATGCTTTTTGAATCACTCTAATCGGTCCTGTCGAATTTTTATTTTTTTGTACTTTTTGCCCCGCATCTTCAAAATGACTAGACCTGCCTTCGCCAAAAACTAATTAGCACGTCTCGCCATCAATGGGAATTGAATGTTTCTCGAATCATTCAAATTGGTTGATCCATGCGCCCGAAATCGTGGGCAGAAAATTGTATCCACACATACGTACATACATACACACATACATTTTTAAGGTCAGAGACCTATGTCTTAATTTATTTAATAAAATCCTCATTCCATCAATACAAGTGAAATGTTTTTTGAATCACTCTAATCGGAAGTTCTGTCGAATTTCTATTTGTTGCACTTTTTGCCCCATGTCTTTGAAACGGCTTGACCTACCTTCGCCAAAAACTAATTAGCATGTCTCCCCATCAATAAGGGAGCAAGTAGAATGTTTTTTGAATCATTCAAATCGGTTGATCCATGCGCCCAAAATCGTGGATAGAATGAATGAATGAATGTCAAATATGACTTTTCAAAATACACTTAATAAGATATTTCTTCTTAGAAAATGTTATTCGATATGCCTATAGAGAGCAAAGATTTATTTAATACAAGAATATTTATTTATAAATATTCTTTATTTTAAAATGTTATTCTTATAACTTGAAAAATGTTATTCCCATAACTTGAAAAATATTATTCTCATAACTTGGAAAATGTTATTAGACTAAATGTTACTTGGAGAATATTATTCTTCTAACTTGGAAAATGTTATTCTAATTTACTTAATTAGATATTCTTTCTTGAAAAATATTATTCAACATATTCTAAAAGTAGCAAAGATTTAATTAATACAAGAATTCATATTTATATTTGTACGATACAATGCATGATGAAATATTCTTACAATATTGGCAAATACTCGATGCTTGGTACAAAGTCCACAGTCCAATAGTTCAATTACAACACATTTTGTAAGAAAAATATAATAACACCATTTTGTAGAGTGTAAAATAACATTAATACATGTTTTGTCTAAACAAGTATTAAAAAATATACTCCATCGAGAGTATTCCAATCTTCTATTTTAAACCTAACTTTACCATACAAACTTAAATAGATATTTTTTCTTAGCAAATGTTATTTCACAAGTCTTACTGGAAGCAAAATTTAATAAACAATAATAATAAATTTAATAAAAACAAGTAAAAGAAATAAGTCGTCATATCTATAATTTCATGATACAAACAATGTTGTACTTGTAACAAGTGTCTGTAACAAGTTTAAAGATATACTCCATCAAGTATATTTTTTTCTTTCATTTTAAACCTAGCTTTACCATACAAACTTAAATAGATATTTCTTCTTGGAAAATGTTATTCGACAAGCCGTAGTGGTAGCAAAATTTAATAAGAACAAGCAAAGAAAATATGTAGTCATATTTATAATGTCACAATACAATACATGATGTACTTGTAACAAGTACCTGTAATGTATAATAAATTTAATACACATTTTGTCTGTGACAAGTATTAAAAGATACTTCATCGAGTATATTCCTTTATGCTCCATTTTGAACCTAGCTTTACCATACAAACTTAAATAGATATTTCTTCTTGGCAAATGTTATTCGACAAATCTTGTGGAAGCAAAATTTAATGAGTACAAGAACAAGAAATAAGTAGTCATATTTATAATTTGAAGATACAATGCATGTTGTACTTGTAACAAGTACTCGTAATGTATAATATTATTAATACACATTTTGACTGTAACAAGTTTAAAGATATACTCCATCGAGTCTATTCCTTTCTTCCATTTTAGACCTAGCTTTACCATACAAACTTAAATAGATATTTCTTCTTGGAAAATGTTATTCGACAAGCTTTAGTGGGAGCAAAATTTAATAAGAACAAGAACAGGAATAAGTAATCATATTTATAATGTCACAATACAATGCATGTTGTACTTGTAACAAGTAATGTGATTTTCTAATAATACTAATAGACATTTTATCTGTAATCAGTATTAAAAGATACTCCATCAAGTATATTCCTTTTTTCAATTTTAAACTAGCTTTACCATACAGCCTTAAATAGATACATATTCTTAGCAAATGTTACCGACAAGTCTTAGGGGAAGCAAAATTTAATAAGGACAAGTAAAAGAAATAAGTAATCATATTTATAACTAACAATCTGTCGAGAGGCTTTATTAATACATCCATTAATATCATTTTAACACAGAACACAAAGTACTTTTTTGTATCCTATTAATTATTATTACTATTTCCTTTACATTTACCTGATAACAAAGCAATGCTCAACTGATCTGTGTTCAAGTTCTCCACATATTTGCCCAAGTAATTATTTAAAACCCAGGCCACAAGTCCTTCCAACATATTTTACAATAAAAATCACCATTAATATTAATTTTAATTAGGACTTCAAAAAATTCACCATTGCATAATAGATTTTTTATTTAAAAAAACATGTTAGGTTGTAAATTTTGTATTTTTAATTTGTTTATTTAAAGATTATGATAAACATTTTATGGTAATTAAAAGTTATTATTTTAAAGATTTGGAAGAATGTTTTTTTATATTAGCATTCTTGCAATTTTGTTTGATCTGTCAAAATACATTGATTGGAGTGAAGATAAGCACAAAAGGCGCGACTAGATTTTCAAAAAAATGCGGCGGTAAAATATTTTTATTTTGAAAAAAAGTAGTTAATATTAAAACCAGTGGGGCGCATGGCATTGTGCCTTAAGGCAAATTGCTGGAACTTCCCGTACCAAACATTATTATTTTTTTGAAAGATTACCATTTTTGAAAAAAAATTACTCTGAAAAATTAGATTTTTGAGAAACTATAAATTTTTGACAAAAATTTACTTTTTTTTGAAGAAAAGTGTATTTTGAAATATTTTGGAAATTCTGAACTTTATTTCAAAGCAATCGTACTGCTTTAACTGCATAGAGACGAAATATCGAAGCGCGTAAGCGCCGTGCCGGCGTCTAATAAATAAGCATTGGTACGGAACCCATAGAAATGTAAACAAAATTTATACTCATTGTTAAAATGTCTATAAAATATCTGATAATTTGATGTGTATATGTCTAATGATCATTTTTGACCGCCAGATGGTATTTTTTTTTACTTTTTTCACTAGATCTCCGAAACCGCTAGACCTGCTTTTATGAAAATTTGATCAGTTCTTTACCTTATTAATACAAATAATGTTTTTTTGAATATTCAAATCGGGCGCTTCGTTCTTCCTAAAACCGAGTTACCGTTTTTGGCACTCTTTGCCCCATATCTTTCGGAACGGCGAGACCTGCCTTCGCCAAAAACTAATCAGCACGTCTCCTTATCAATACGGATGGAATGTTTTTTGAATTATTCAAATCGCTTCATCCGTGTTCCCTAAATCGCCGACGAAAATTTGTATCCGCACACACACACACATACATCAATTTTTTCTAAGGTATGCCAAAATATTCAAAAACCTCTGAAACGTAAAAATATATAAAAATTTTCATTTTCGATTTTTTTGCGATTACTATAACTTACCCTACGGAAAGTTAAAAATCCGTGGATCGTTTTACAATTTATTTTATAACAACTAAGTATTCACCAAATGTTTTACATAATAATCAAATATTTGTATTAAAAATTAAACAACAAATCAAATACTTTGCAAAACTTGTTTGCATATTATTATATTAATATTATTTGCATATTATTATTATAAATATTAATTTGTTGTTATTATGTTATTAAAAATTGTTAACAGAAAAAACTAGAATAAATAAACTGGAATATATTTTATTTTATTGTCATATAAATAACATTGTGATTGTCTACATCTAGTTACAAAAAAATGTAATCCTTTTACTTTTATATTGAATAAATTTAAAATTATATATATATATATATATATATATATATATATATAATTATAAATCAAGTATATATGAATTATTATTATTAATTTATAACAAGATTCATTCATCGACTGATTGTTCATAAGACTTTAAACTAATTATAATTAGTTTTATACATTGGAAGCATGACTAAATATCATATTATTTATAACAATATTGATCTAATATTAAAGATTATTATAATATATTTTTATTAGGAAGATAGAATATCATAAAAGACAAACATAAGCATTAATCAACAATATCATTTGGTTTATCGTTACAATCTTTGGCACTATAATAATATATTTATTATATATTTATCTATATATAATATATATATATATATATATATATATATATATTATTATTATTATTAATTTGTACTAAACTACCTAAATCTAATGTCACAATCGTATTTCATTATTATTGTCATTTAATATTACAGAAGCATTATCATTAGGAAGAAACTTTATGGAATGCAATTTTTCTACATCGTTCATATATAATGTATATTTTTTTGTACTAGAAATTATTGAATATTTTGTTTTGTATTAGTTATATATAACATTTTTTAAAAAAGTGCTCTAAAATTTCATAAAATTGTTTGTGCTTATGATTGATATAAAATTTGTAGCTATACATTCGTAGTTATTTGTTAAATATAACTATTATTATTATTGTGGAAGCATATTTATATTTATAAACTATCTTGAAACTTTTTTTGTGCTGTCGATATAAATTTAACTATAACTTGATTATAATTTGAATTTAAACAAGATATACAATTCTATACAAGTTACTAAAATTGTAACTATTTATGATATTTTTTTTCACAATTGTAAAATTGTATGAGATTTCATTTAATGTATTTATAAACTATCATTAATTTTGAGACTTTTCTTGTAGAGAATTATTATAAAACTAGCTATAATTTGATTATAATTCGAATTTAAACAACAAGTTATACAATTCTATATAAGTTACTAAAATTATAACTATTTATGATATTTCTTTTTCACAATTGTAAAATTGTATGAGATTTCGTTTAATGTATTTATAAACTATCATTAATTTTGAGACTTTTCTCGTAGAGAATTATTTTAAAACTAGCTATAATTTGATTATAATTCGAATT